ATATTTTAAAAATATATATAATATATTTACAAATAGATTATTATAAATCTAATATAAGTATACATATATGTATATAATGAATATATATTTATATATAATATATAGAAAATATATGACATATATTAAAAATATATATAAAATATACATATAAATATATATTCCGGTTGGTTCAGTTAACCGTCGGTTTTTTGTAAGTTAACCAAAAACCGAATCGATCAGTTCAATTAACCACATTTTGCGATTCAGTTTTCTCAATTCAGTTTGATTTTTCATGGACACCCCTAGCCTTTCGGGATATTGGCAACGTTAGTCTTACGAATTTATTCGTCAATGTGTGTTAGGATTTTCCATTTCCATAAATTTATCCTAGCCAATGCATTACAACAACTCTTTGAGAAAAAAAAAATTCTTTGCCATCTCATTTTGGCTAAATGGTGTGCCATGCATCAGACAAGCTTGGCTTGCCACTTCAAAAAAGACTAGCTCAAGCTCTCCATTGTTTGTTTCAATTTCAAGTACAAAAAACCTCAGTCAATTAGAGGGGTGCAATTTGGGTTGGCCCAAATTTGTGTTTTACATTGCTTTGGGTTTGAGCCAAGGCTGTGTTTGGTTGCAATACAAATAAATTTGTACTGATGCAATGCAATGGTAGTGCAAATGATTTGGATACAAATTCTGATTTATTATTGTTTCAAATTTTATCTTATTTTCTTTGATTGCAGTATAAATAAGGTAAAATAAGACTTGAAGCAGAGAAAAAAGTAAAACCCAAAACAAAATTATACCAAAATTTGTATTATTTTCATTTGACTAGTGCAAATAAAATTGTAATGCAACCAAACACAGCCTAAGCCCGCCCAAGTTGCATTTATACATGAGTCAAACTCTTTCTTCCGTTCCTTGTTTAATGGTCTATCAAATCCATTGCCAAATTAAGACCCATTAGGCTTGGTTGAGAGATCATAATTCAAAACCCTAGCCATACAAATCCACTAGAGTTTACATTACTACCAAGACTCTTTCAAAATCCCCTCTCCATATTAACAGGTTCTTCAATCCCCATGATCTATTTCTTTTGAGGTTTGAGCTCAAGTTCCTTTTGATAGATACTTAGTTTTAACTATCCTTACCCACAAATTATGTAATTCAGTGAAAATCCTTCAAACTTGTTTTGAACAATTCTAGGTTGAACAGATATGTGTCCTTGAACCCGGCCCAACCTCATTACCATATAGTTTCTTTCTGCTGAGATGTTTCTATTTAATCCAAAAATGTACCTTTGTTTTTCCTTTTCTTTGCATCCCCATTAACATCTCCTTTTTAATTCTTCCATTTCATTTTTAGTAATAAAAGGTAGGGCATAGCATTAGGGCATGTAATGGAGCAGGTTGATCAGAAATGACAAGTTAAAATAAAATCACCTTTGATTTATCTTGTAACCAAGTTGGAGCTCAATAATCCATTAAAATTTTATGAAGCTTGCTTTCTAGACTGAGATCCATCTAAAAATCAAAGTTTGAACTCTAAGGGATACAATCAAAACCCCCATGAATTTTGATAAATATCACCTGATTGGTTGATTGATTACAAGCTTTTCTGAGAGAATTCTATGCTCTAATATTTGTATTTGGTTAGGGTTGCGCATCAGCCCAAGCCCTTTGGTAGAGCTTAGCCCATCCCAAAGCCCGAACTCAAGCTTTGTGTTTGGGCTAGGCCTAGACTTAAAATCAGCCCAAGGTGATCTGACCGAACATAACCCAAACTCATATTAAGAGCCTTGTGCCAAGTTTAGGATGGCCCAAACTTAAACCTAACCAAGGGCTGAGGTTATTGTTTGTATCTCAAATCTTATTAAAAGTCACGTGAGAAGTGCAATTTACACCAATCAAAAACTGTACACATATGTAGGTACCTAGACATCTTGGACTAAACTTCAGACTTTTGAGCTAGGCAAGATCAACTTAGGCCCAGCCCAAACTCAGCACCAGGTCTATCTTGTATACTAATCCCAATCTTAGTATCCATGGGCCGGTTGGGAGAGATAGTCTAGGAAAAATTTTAGGAAGGGATTGGATAAGTGGTTGAGAACATGAGAGAGAGATTTGGAGTAGCACTCTAGTGTAGAAAAGATAGCTGCCACGTGGCTATATGGAAGGGCCATGAAAGGGGTAAGGGAGAAAGGAGAGAAGAGAGAAGGGGGAACAGGATAAGGAAAGGGTTGCTGACATGGGACCTAGTCGCTTTATAATATAGTATAGAAGTATAGATATTATTTTATAAAAAAATAAATAAATGATGTAAGGATTATAAAATTACAATATAAAAACAAAATATGATCAGATTCTAATCGGATCAGATCATGATCCCATCCATTTGCACCCCTAATTTTGAACCCTATATGTAAAATAAACATTTTTTTAACTTAGTAATTTTGGATGCCTATAAATGTTAGCTATTTTCTATATTTTTAGTGCCAACTAATATTATACATGAAAATGTTTCGGGTAAAGTAAGTAAGTAGAATCCAAAGTTTGACAATTTTAGCAAAAATAAATACACTCAAAATTTGTAATATTTGTTTGGGTCAAATTTGCAAATTTTCTACCATGACAATGTCATTAAGTGCATGTTAATTAAGTATGGGTGTTGACTAATGTAAATGGTTTTGTTTCTAATACAAAAATAACCACCATATCAGCAAAGATGCATTATTAATATTACTGACATGGCAATTGTTTTTCTTGAAAAAACAATATATATATATATATATATTCACGTTGGAGAACACCCCCTAAAATTATGGGGATGTTTGTTACCATTGGTCCACTGCTGTTTCACGAGAAAAATGTTTCCTACAAATTTGTTTTAAAAATTTTGTTTTAGAAATTGAGACAAAACATCTTTTTTCTTAATTTATGACAACTAGATGCCGTTAGATATCACACAAGCCTAACGGTGAAAAATGCCTTTCGATTGGACAAAACGGCAATTTGATTTTTATTTTTTTATAAATGCTTTTTACAGAACCCGTGACAGCCATTTACATGATAAACAATTCAACCAAACAAAAACTGATGAAGCACCATCAGAAAGAAACACCTACTTGACATTGAGCTGGCTCGTTTCTTTGACAAATGGCCTTGGTACAAAATACCATGGCTTTTGAACCGTTGTTGACCTGGACAGTCCGACCATTCGACTTGAAAACTGTCCAGCCAACCGATTTTTGTTTCACCCTTGAACTGGAATCTTGCCAAAAACTGTTGACTTATTTGATCAGCAACCCGCTGACCTTGGATCTCTCCGGTCCAACCTCTGCAATCTTCTTCTTCTTCTTTTATGTATTTGGATCTCAGATCTGAGATCGTTCTTGTCTCAGAACTGAGATGTTCTTCTCTTTTTCTACTTACCCGCGAACTGCTGTCCGGGTCAAATGGGTTGACGGTTCAACTGCCCGGGTCAGTGTCCTCTAACCAAGTCAACAGATTTTGGCTCAGGAACGGGTTAAGGGTGAAACGGAATTGGTTGCCTAGACGGTTTTTGGGCCGAACGGGCCGATTGTCCGGGTCAACAACAATTAAAAAACACTGGTCACAATAGATTGCGTCTCAAAAGGGACAAGACAGGAAGTCTGACCTAGAAAAGTACAGCTACTTACTTCTATCTCATAAACATACTGAATATGAAAACACCCCCTCCTCCCTCTAGTCCACTCTATAGATGTAAGACAATAACAACAAGTCGATTTTAATTTAGGCTATGTTTGATTTGAAGGAAAAGGTAGGGAAAGGTAGGAAAACTTATACAAGGTTTGTAAAGGTTTCCTTACCTTTCCCTTCTTTTTCCTTCAAACCAAACGCAGCATTAGGGTAAATTACTTCCCATCAAGTTTTTTACCATTGTTGAAACCTCTCCTGAAGTTTGATAACTACAATCACCTCCTTTGAATTCTGATATAGTTGCAGATAAATTCCCTTGATTAAAATCCTCTGACAAGGAGTAAAGATGTCCAAAATACGTATCCCATACAATTATTATTGAGGCTGGTTTTTACAGAAAGAAAAAATCATACAAACTATATGAACAACAAAAAAAGACTGTTTAAAGTTGCAACTTAATTTATCTTTGAGCAATTGATACGAAAAGAAAATTTAGAAAATAAATCAATTTCAAAACAGAGATTGGAAAGTTTTTGAGTAATGATTGATCTAAAAAGAACAATTGAAAAATAAACATTTTGATCAAAAATAATTACATGGATATTTTGAACATTTTCATGTTGTTTGTTAGAGTTATCTATTTACAACTTGTTAGGGATGATTGCAATTACCAAACTTCAATGGAGATTTGAGCAATTTACCCTTTATATCAATAACTACCAAATATTAGACATGAGAGCCCAAATGTAGGAATCATCTTTAAAAGCGACATGTCCCCGCTATAAGGAAATTGAAGTGAGTTTCCCCGAGTCCTAAGGCACTGCCCATAACTAATTAATTATCATTATTATAGTCTTCTGCCTTTTGAAGACTTTAGACTGTGTTTGATTTGATAGGAAACTAATTTTGAAGGGTCATTGAGGAATTAATGGGAATGGTGGAATTACTCTATGTACCAAAAGGATATAAACATAGAAAAGTATGTATGGAAGAAAAGGGTAAGATGCTATGCAAAATATAGTAATTGTTATTATTGTGTTGGCCATGTACAGCTTTCACCACTACGTGTAGGAAGCTTTGATCACCCAACACGTGTTAAGCTAAGATGCCTCTGAATTTAAAGATCTTAACTCTCCAAAAAGAATAATAATGCATGTATACATATCAGATGAGTTTTCTAATTTTTAGGGAACATTACTTAAAAAGCAAAATATAATGTGGGGTACACATTTGCTGATGTATTGATTAGTGGTAACATTGTTGGCCTGGACCTGGAGTTTCACTCACCACCACCAGGCACCAGCTATAAAGGGAACGAACACCCACCCTGCTATATCATCTCGTGGCTTGTGATTGATCAGCCTCCTTCCCCATCTCTTCCTACTTAATTTGCAAATTCAGATAACCAAATTCGTTGAAAGTAATAGTACAAGTCTACTAGAGGAAATTAAATGGCTCTCCCTGAAACCGAGGGCAACACCATCTCCGACGCTAGGAACTACAATGGCCGTCCCGCCGAGAGATCTACGACAGGCGGATGGACGAGTGCTGCCATGATTCTAGGTCTTCACTCTTCATCCATCCATACCTACTTCATCCTTTCCAATCCCGTTCTTTCACATTCTTTCCTATAGAATAAATGGTTAATTAATATTCTAGTTACTCCCATCACTGTTAATTCAGTCTAGTTCAGTGGTAACTTTTAGCTTTGTATGGATGGACTCCTGAGTCCTGATCACAGGAGTGGAGCTGTGTGAGAGGTTGACCACTCTGGGGATCGCCGTGAATTTGGTGACTTACTTGACGGGTACCATGCATTTTGGTAATGCCAGCTCTGCCAACACCGTCACCAACTTCCTCGGTACCTCCTTCATTCTTTGTTTGCTCGGCGGCTTCGTCGCCGACACGTTTCTCGGCAGGTTTATGTTTCTTCTCCATGATTCCAGAGTCTTCACAAAATAGCTAGTTCCAAATTTCCAATCTGCTCGCTTGTTTGTTTTCAGAGTTTTCATTTTTCTGAACTACTTTTCTGCTCTTACTCCCTTTTCTTTTCCAGGTACCTCACCATAGCTATTTTTGCCACAGTTCAAGCTACAGTAAGACAATCTATTGTCTATTTGATGCTTTTCCCTTTGTGGTTCTTAGTTTGCTAACTTGCAACGGGATATGGTCGGTCGTTGGGACACGGATCGGTCCCAGTCTCCCAGAGACAAGGTTCTGGCCTTGGTGTTCCGCCGGGCACGTTAAACGTTACGTTTTTATACTGTTTATCCTTCCTTTTCGACATAATTAATTTCTTGTTGAATAATCGAGGTTAGGGTGTGACGTTATTGACAATATCCACCGTGGTCCCGAGCCTACGACCACCGAAATGCACCGCCGGAGAACCCTGCACGCCGGCAAATAGGTTACAACTAGCGGTACTATATCTGGCACTGTACCTAACGGCACTCGGCACCGGAGGTCTGAAATCAAGTGTGTCGGGGTTTGGGTCGGACCAGTTCGACGAATCAGACAAAAAGGAGAGGACCCAGATGACGAACTTCTTCAATTGGTTCTTCTTCTTCATAAGCATCGGATCGCTAGCAGCGGTGACCTTACTCGTTTACGTACAAGATAACCTAGGGAGGCGATGGGGATACGGTATCTGCGCCACGGCCATCCTGTTGGGCCTCATTATCTTTCTTTGCGGTACTAGGCGTTACCGATTCAAGAATCTCGTGGGGAGCCCATTGACACAGATAGCGAAGGTGTTCGTTGCCGCTTGGAGGAAGAGACATATGGATTTGCCGCCGGATCCGTCGCTCCTGTATGACATTAGTGACAACGTCGTCAACCATAAGCAGAAGAGGAAGCAGAGACTCCCTCGTCATAGCAAACAGTTTCGGTTAGTGTTTTTCACTGAACCCATAGGCCATAACCCATTTACATTGGAGCAAATCATAAATTTCCTCTTATCATTCTATACATTTTGTTTTTATTTCATTTATGATATCCGAAAATTTTATTTTTATGTGACCAATCAATGGTATCATAACCAATCAGCTAGAATTTATCAAAATTCACAGGTAGATTTTGATAGTCAAAACTCTACTGCTACCACCATCAGAAGAATAAGATGAGATTTTATTTTGATTGGCTCACCGCCATTGAAATAAAATCTTTATAATAATTCTTTTAATTTTGAATATAATTTCTTAATAATTCAACCGTAGCAACTTTAACTCTTTTAGGTTTGTTACTGGTGAATATGAAAAGTTAATTTCTACTAATAATTAATTTATAGGTAGGTCTTCACTCTTTATTACTAGCAATGCTTTCAATTGAAGTAATGTAATTCTACCAAGGATTAGATATTATGTACTTCTTAAACACTTCTAACAAAGAAGATGCCTTTGAATGGACATGAGTTCGACCTCCAAATTTCAATCAAATCACCATCAGTCTAATCTTTATTCTTCTATTGTACAACAAGACATTGAATAAATGACCACAAAATATCAGTGCAGAATCACAGTACAAGAATCGAATATTACGATCACGAGACTAATTCTCAAATTCTGTCCTAATAATATTACTTCACCGTTACTCATTGAATATAATGATACTGAACTACACAATTTGATGACGGTCAATTCAACGGAGGAGGGGAGGGAGGGAGATCTTGAGAATATATCACTCTCCCATATTAATTAATTAGTTCATGTTCTTTTGTTAATATATAAGATACTGACTTGATAATTCTTCTTCTCTTTCTTGCACGATGATCAGTTTTCTAGATAAGGCGGCAATCAAGGACCCAGATGTTGAGACGAGAGGCTTGAATGAGCCAAACCGGCGATGGTGGTTATCCACATTAACCGACGTAGAAGAAGTGAAAATAGTGATCAGAATGTTACCCATCTGGGCCACAACCATCATGTTCTGGACCGTCTACGCTCAGATGACTACTTTCTCTGTATCCCAGGCCACCACCATGGATCGACACATCGGCAACTCTTTTCAGATTCCTCCGGCCTCCTTAACCGTCTTCTTCGTCGGCAGCATTCTCCTTACCGTTCCTGTGTATGATCGTGTCATTGTTCCGGTTGCACGTAAATTGTTTAAGAACCCACAGGGCCTTACCCCCTTGCAACGTATAGGCGTGGGCCTTGTGATGTCTGCAACTGCCATGGCAGCCGCTGCGCTCACCGAGCTTAAGCGTTTGAGAGCTGCAAGATCGAATGGATTGGCGGATGACCCCTCAGCCCAGATCCCTCTAAGCGTGTTTTGGCTGGTTCCTCAGTTCTTCCTGGTGGGTTCTGGCGAGGCATTCACGTACATCGGGCAGCTTGGTTTCTTCCTGAGGGAGTGTCCCGAAGGGATGAAAACTATGAGCACGGGGATGTTTCTGAGTACTCTATCGCTTGGGTTCTTTTTGAGTTCTTTGCTGGTGTCCATAGTGCACAAAGTCACAGGAGAGAGGAGGCCGCCATGGCTATCTGATAATCTAAACCAGGGGAAGCTCTATAACTTTTATTGGCTATTGGCGGTTCTTAGTGTGCTCAACTTCGGGTTATACTTGGTTTGTGCAAGGTGGTACGTCTACAAGGAGTCTAGGCTTGCTGAAGAGGGGATTGAAATGGAAGAGGCAGAAGATGTGTATGCCTAATAATAGAATGCTTGTGTGGCCTCACAAGAATATATATATATATATATAGACTATAGACTATAGTAGCAAGGATGTGTGTTGCCCTCTCTCTCAAACGAAACCACCAAGTGTGAGAGATCTTTCTCCATGGAGTCTGGATCTCCTGCTTAATTTGTTTGCATTGGCCTTTCCCTCATTCGGTGACTTAAGCAGTGTAGTGATCTATGGTCATTTCAGTAATGTAAATGATAAGCTTAAAATGAGTAAATTAATCCTCACCCCACTCGACATTTTATATCATGAGAGAATGAATTTGTTTGACAGCATTGAAACGAAAAGGAATATACACACAAACTGGGCAAATGAATTTGCAGAGTTTTGCAGAAACCTATGAATTTGCAGAGTTCCTGATCTATTCTAATGGAAGTTAAAGCATCAAACCAAATTGGTTTCACAAGAGGGCATCGCAGAAACCTATGAATATATCGTTCTCCTCACCACAAACTGGGCAAATGACCTCAACTTTCCCTTATACATAATATATACATGTATGCATTAGGGAAAATTTATGATGAGGAAAATATATGGTATGGAAAGAGTTTTGACCAATCAAAACCCACCCATGCATTTTGATAAAATAACACCTAATTGGCTATCATGTTTATGATATTCCAACTGTCTGGTCAGAAATTTTTCAGATATCATATCTTTTCCATACCATAGTCAAATATATAAAAATATCTGTTTTCTAATTTTATATACATAAAATATGTAAACATACATTTCTTAAAATATGTAAACATAAATTATTTCAAACCTAACCAACCTGGCCAGCCCAAACCAAGTCTGAGCCCAAGTTGTATTGGGTTGGGCCTTAGTAAAGTCGGGTTGATCGGGCCCAAATCAAAGGTTTGCATCTTAGCTAGGGATATGCCTGAGTTGACCGCCAAGCCGATCTAACATGCCTGAATTGGTTAGGTTTGAAAATACACCAAAAGGCATAAATATCAAGAAATTATGATCTTTACATGGTTAGAATGCTCTTAATGAACATTTTCCAAAATAATAATAATAACAGATGGTTTTTGAAAACATGATTTTTAACCATAAGAAATTTTAAAATCAATCTATAGAAATAAGATCTTTATATCAATGAAAATCTCTTCACAATTATTTTTCAAAAAAATGATTATTTTAAAATATAATATTGCTAAGTAATATTATTCTAAAAATACCCCTGAGGTTTAAATTGTATGATTCTAAGTTTGAACGCTTTTCCCCAACTATTGATACCTATATACAAAGATTGGTAACGGTTCCAAAGAGGGTTTGAATGGTCATGATTGCTTTCTATTTGTCATAATATCCATATGAACCATACCCACAATGTTGCTATTTCACCTAATTAGGAAATTTATATATTACAACTGTCAAGAAGAAAAAGAATACAAAAACTACGTGTTTAAGGTAATAATCATCGTTGTTTAAACTCTTTTTTTCCAAAATATATAAAGATTGGTAATGGATTCCAAAGAGGGTTTGAATGGTCATGATTGTTTTTTATTGCCTTAATATCCATATGAATCATACCGATGATGTTGCTATTTTTCCTAATTAGGGAATTTATGCAACATTTTTTACAATTGTCAAGAAAAAAAAGAACTAGATTGCAAAAATTGGATGTTTAAAGTAATAATCATCTTTTTTAAATTCTTTTTTTTTCAAAATATACAAAGATTGGTAATGGGTTCCAAAGAGGTTTTGAATGGTCATGATTGTTTTCTGATGTCTTAATATCCATATGAACCATACCTATGATGTTGCCATTTCACCTAATTGGGGAATTTATGCAATATGGGTGTTAAAAGTTGGATCCCTTACCTTGAGCATGGAGTGTCTTTTTATAGCCGGAGATCCGTGTCCTGGTCGGATTGGGCTTATGGGGTTGTCGGGATGAGGTTAGCCACCGAGGTATTCGGGATAGAGTCTCATTCCCCAGCGGACTCGTCTTCCTTACTCCTCTTTATCTGTAGTTGTGCTCATTCGTGTGACGTGTAGCTAACGTGGCTGAAAGGATAAGATGGGGAGCCACAATAATAGCGTAACTCGGCCAAGCTATGCCGACCTGGCCGGGCAATGGCTGGACGGCCACGTGTCTCTCAGGACCAACTCAGCCATGACCCGAACACCCATAATGTTGCTATTTCACCTAATTAGGGAATTTATGCAACATTTTTTACAATTGTCAAGAAGAAAAAGAACTAGAGTGCAAAAATTGGGTGTTTATAGTAATAATCATTTTTCTAAACTCTTTTTTTCCAAAATATACCAGGATTGGCAATGGGTTCCAAAGAGGGTTTGAATGGTCATGATTGTTTTCTATTGTCTCAATATCCATATGAAACATACCCATGATGTTGCTATTTCACATAATTAGTGAGTTTATGCAACATTTTTTTCAATTTTCAAGAAAAAAGAACTAGAGTGCAAAAATTGGGTGTTTAAAGTAATAATCATCTTTTTTTAATTCTCATTCTCTCTTATTAAATCTTATATTTAAGTTATTTTTTAACTAATAATTGCAACTACTTAGATCTATGTAAATAATTTTAATAATATAAATCTATATATTTAAAACTTACTCAAAAACAAAACCATTCTTTATCCAAGTGATGACTAATAAATTCAACCATCTGAGTCAATTTGGTCAACCCATGAAGTCATAGTAAGATAATAACATTTTTAAACATAAATAAATATAAAAAATTGCAAAAAAGTAAAAAAAAATTAGACACATTTATCATATTTTTATTAATTAAAATAAAAAATAAGTATAATAAACAATAATTATTTTTATTGATAGTGAAAATGAAATACATAATCTAAAATTAACAAAAAAATGAAATTATTTTCTTATTTAGTGGAGATCAATAGTTCAACTCTTTTAGTCAAATGTGTCAACATTTAATGTCATAATGAAATAATAAAAATTAATAAAATATAAAAACACAAAAATGAAATGAATACATTAGTTTTACAAAAAATCATTTGGGCACATGTATAATATCATATATTTATCATACTAAACAAAAATAAGTGTACATAATAGAATTATTTTTACACACAGAGAAATAAAAAGTTATAGAAAAATGGAACACATATGTAATTCTATATTTACACTACTATTAAAAATACGAATAAGATTGTGAAACTTTCTTTTGATTAAAATACTCATTTTTTGAATTTAATTTAATTGTGAGGTTGAAAATGTAACTTAAACTACTATACTTTTCACCTCATTCAATTCTCTCTCTTTAAGTCATATTTTTTGATAATTGAACAAGAAAAGATATACTAAAAAGACAAAATATTATAAAAAGAAGAATCCATCCAAGCAGGTAGGCCCGTCAATGATATCCAAAACTATGTAGCCCAATATGAGGTATTTACTTAATCGAATTCGGATTTTACAATTTACATCCGATTAATAAAAAAAAATACATGAATTTTATAAAAAAAAAAATTGAATACGTTATTATTATGATTGTGATGATGTAGAATTGGCAAGTATAAAACACATGAAAACTTACTAGTTTATCCAAGTGGTTTTAGGGCATTACCACATCTATGGACTTTTAAGAAGATAAATAATGGTGGAACTGTGTTTGAAACTAAGGGAGAAACTCGGAAACAGGAAATTGAGGGAAAGCTCTTAGCAACTTTCACCAAGTACCCCCCGATGCTAAGAGATGCTGGAATGAGGTAAATCCATGGCGGTTATCCACATTAACCGACTTGGAAGAAGTGAAAATAATGATCTGGATGTTACCCATTTGGGCCACAACAATCATGTTACCATCTACACTCAAATGCGTAGCTAATACCTTATTCTGTATCCCACCCAAGCCACCGTTATGGATCAACACATTTTAAGTTAAGGTGGTATTCATCAAAATTTATGGGGTTTTGGATTGGTCAAAGGATCTTTCGGTATTATTATGTATGCCTTTTTTTAGTATTTATGGGTATGGCCCGGAGAGGATTCAGAGTTCAGAGCGCCTTAACCCTGGATAAATCTGTGTTATACTAACGGAAACACGGTTGCAATTTGAAAACTTTTAGTCTATAATTTAAATGTTGTAAATTTTACTGAAAAATATGAGAGTAATCTACAAATCCAAAGGTAAAAAAAAAAATACCCAACTCCTTACTAAGACTAAACAATTTGGGCGGTTTCTAAAGTTTTCGTTTCCATGAAGTTGGGCCTCTACAAAAACTTGGAGTAGAAACAGTAAAGAAGAAAGAAATGCAAGCGCAATGCACATAACAACAACCAACTTTACTTCCTACTCACAACCAAAAATCCATAGGCCTTTTAAGACCAAACAAAGGTTTCAACCCTTTGGTTTAATTAATATAAATTGAACCTTTTTTTTTTGTTTGTTTTAAACTTGTTGTTTGCTCTAGCCGTGTATCTTTTAAGGAGTGAGGTCATATTCCCCCTCTTTGTGAAGTTGAGATCATTAATAAATTTTTCTTTAAAAAAAGAAAGATTTTAGCAATTTCCATGCTATCGCATGAATTTGACAATTTTTTATGGAACTGGTTTAATTCCTGTTCCGTCCCTTAATTGGCACGTCATTTGGGTACATCCCAATTTTACAAAAAGAAGGCGCAGGAGCTTTACTCGTAGAAATTGGGTCGTACCCGGAACCCGAGTAGGTGGTGGAAACTGGAAACGAATGGGGGGATTTGGGAGGAGGCGCGAAGTTGGAAATATGACCATTCAAGGATTGAGGTCACAGAGAAAATAGGAAACAAGAGCAACCGTCGCATACCTACCTTCTAAAAAGCTATAACTGTCGCCTCAAGTCTCAAGATTCAACCCAAATTTCGATTAAACTCTTCCGATGATAGAAAATTAGAGACCCTTCTAAGAGAAACTCTGGATTATAGAGGAAGACAGGCAGGAGATGGCCAAGGGATACGCAATCTTTAAGAGAAAACTCAAAGAACTTGAATTGGAACTCAACGAGGTTGTCGCCCTTTCGGCCGAGACCCCTTGTCACCAACTCCTTTCAGAAGGATTGAGGGGAAGATTTGGATTTCTAAGGAGTCTGCTTGCTGCAGAGATTAAATCACAACCCAGGAAGCCGCATCACTTGCACCACATTGAGCAAAGGCTCGCTGAACTCGAGGCAGCGTTTCTGGACTGGGACAACTTCAGGACATCAGCCATCCACCATCTTGACAGTGCTTCAACGTGCTCATGCACCGAGTCATGTCTCAATGAAGACGAGGATGGAGATGGTTCTTCTGACCTTGGCTCTCCTTTCTATCTGGATACAGAAACTGTTTCCGACAAGGCCATCGAGGAAAAAGCACAGGTGCCAATCGAAAAGGTTGAGGGCAGGAGAGTCCAGAATGGAAAGATTTGTAGAGTCGTCGTGACTAGTTTTGTGCTGTTTGTTTTGGTGATGATGGGTTTGGGGGTTGCAATTTTCTCTGGTTGTTGCTACTACATCGGAGAGGAGTCTTCCTTGATTCCTACATAAGTAAAAAATAGTCAGGGTTTTGGACTGAACTAGTCATTTATGGACGGAACGGGATTTATTTCTTGCTGTTACTTTCGCTTCTTTGCAGAGTTCCTGTTTCTTAAGCAGTATTACCGGCAGTGACACAACAATTTGTAGTTGTACGTAGAGGTGTCAATTGGACTGGATTTGCTCCAATCTGATCCAGTCCAATGTTAATCCATTACAAATGGATCAGGTCCAATCCAATCCAATGCATATTTTGGACTGGTCCAATTCAATGTCTGGACCATCCGATCTGTTCAAATTTGTTTAAATTTAGATTAACTCTAACCCAAACCTGGTCCATTGACACCTATATTCTAATCTTCTATGAATGATGGACCAGGTCCAACCCAATCCAATAAATACTTTGGACCATGAAGTCTAGACTGGTCCAATTTAATATGTCATATGTGTCCGTCCAATCCATTTAAATTGATTTTGGTTTGGACGGGATCCAATCCAAAACTGATCCATTGACACCCCTGGCCCTGTAGAACGTACTCTTGTTTAGCAATTACATTTCCTGTTTCATTCTCCCTTCGCAGCTCCATGCTTCCATAATTCAGTAGATTTCTGGATGGAATTAAATGAAGATGGGTCAGAAATTTCAAAACGACCTTGCTTCCATTTCCTTTCTATACGAGTGATGAATCTCCAACCCTAACCTTCAAAAGAGTCTCTTAATCGTCAAACTGGTTGAGTTTGACAACCAGTTTGCGATAAAACAACCCGAGCCAGACAGATTTGATGGTTTTGTTATTGATTGGTGAATACAATATTATCATCTGAGGGGATACTTTGGTTTTGGTGCAGGTCATAAAGTTAACATCGATGATATTGGAAAGATATGATATCCCAAAAACTTCTCCAATCAATTGGAATCATAAACCCGATACCCAATTAGATGTTATTCATCAAAATTCATAGGTGGGTTTTGATTGGTCAAAACTCTTTTGGTAGCATATCTTCTTTCCCACGTCATAGATTTTCCCTAAAGCTATGTTTGGTTTGAAGGAATAGGTAGGGAAAGGAAGGGAAAATGTAAAGAAACCTTTATAAACTTTGTATAGGTTTTCCTATCTTTTCCTTCCTTTCTCTGCTTTTTCCTTCAAACCAAACACAGCCTAAATTTTATTATATAATGCTAATTAATAAGTTCGACTATGATATCCGAAAGACATACATAAAAGGGGAAAACATGTAACCAATGAGAGTGGTAATCAAACGGGCGGTTATTTATCAAATTCACAGTAGGTTTTCATTGGTCAAAACCCTTCTGGCATCATGTCTTTCTGAATGTCTGATATTGTTTTTTTATTTTTTTTGGCAAACTTAAAAGATATTGTTGTATAATTAGCTAATTACCCACGAGCATATGACAAAAGGGATGCTTGGATTGCCCACCTGGGGAAATCACCAACGGAGGCTGTGGATGGATGAAAATATTCATTGCCCATAACTCCACGGTGCTTTAATTTTGTATAATTATTTTTCTGAATCCAAGGGGCTTTCCATCCCAACTCAGATTCATGGATTAATCATCATTTGGTGGTTGGTGCAAGCACTCAAATCAGCAAAAATACGTCCTTTCAATGTAATAAATTGGAACCCAAAAGGCAATGATGAACAAGACATCTTTTTTACAACTACTTGGAAAATATATATTCATAAAAAGTTCTGAGAACACCTAATCAACTAAACATTGATGTAAGGATGCGGCCATGCATTCCTTGTAATTTGAACTAATTGCACGATGGCATCCTATGTCTTATTGATAAGATATCCAACCAGCACACCCAGGAGACCAACCAGCACAACAAACAGGAAGGAGAAGCCACCAGCATGACTTTTGCTAATTTCTTTTCTCATCAACTCCTGTTCAATGACATAGTTGATCAAAAGAATAGTCTCGTTTACAACAATGTAAAGTCCAAACAAAACAAAGGATTGATCGAGTTGCAAATGTCTCACAATAAATAAGAAACAAATCAACATTTTACACAAAAGGAGCACCTTGTGAAGGGCTTAAAACATACTCCTAATTTCTTATCTTTCATGTCAGTTTTATCTGGTTTACCATGTCAAGAGATGGATTCAAAAGTCAAAACCCTTCTTTTCCTCCTAGCAACCTCTACCCCACACTTCCCTACCACCCCAGGGAGGGACAAATAGATAACATTTCTCATTCTCTGATTTCTTATCTATCTTTGAATGAGACAATACATGCTGGCATGACCACATTGAAAACTTTACAAGTCACTACTATGATCTTGTTAAAAAAAAAAAGTGCATTACCTAATGTTGATCCCAGTGATCCAGGATCTTGGAAGTTGGGAGGGGTGGATGAGTAACAGTCCTAAGCTACAACATTTTTGTATGAAGTGGCATCCCTCAGACCAAAACCCACATTCCCATGGTTGTCAGCCCAAATTTTTATAATGGCGCCATATTATGATGGTATTACCTTGTTCAAACTCCTTACTATCCCCGGACTTCCTTCATACCACAAAGAACATAAAGGCAAACCAAAAAACCAAAAAAATTAATAGACGGGAAACTTAAAGATATTTGGAATCTACAGTCGGTCAAAAACATTTTTTTTTACAATAAGCTCCATTTGCTTCAACAGTGAAAGTAGAATATTTTTCAACGTTAAAAGTCTAATCTATCTTTCTACCCCCTCTACAATGGAACAAATGCAGTCGTAAGGTAGAAGACTTCAAACAGAAATCAGGGTGCTTCTTAATTGAACCAAAAGATAAAAGGCATAATCAACTGTACAGAGCTTGCGAAATGCACAATAACCTATAAGATAAAGGTCCACATCAACACTATCTCATTGGATAATGCCACCTCATCATGTAACAAGGGAGGATTACCATCTAATTTTGAATGGTATGACCTTGTGCAAAATGTACAATACCACCTCACTTCGCTCGCTCACCTCTGCCTCGACAAGACCCCCCCCCCCTTCAGTTAGTGTTATGCATTTTCATTCCTCTTAGTATAAAAGTTTTATTAAAAATAAATAAAATGAAATCCACCTTCCTCTTCTTCCTCCTCCCCCTCTTCCTCCTTGTCCCCTCCTCTTAAGGAGGTTTATGCCTCCTTGTGTTCAGGAGGTCTACGCCTCCTACGCTATAAACTATGCCTCACACCTCCAAGTAGTGGAACTCCTCGAGTCACACACCTCCACGTTTTAAAACATTGTGATAGAGTTCCTAGAGAGATAATATAGTGGGTCTTGGAAAAGAAGGGGGTTCAAAATAGTATATAGATCTAATTAAGTATATGTATGAGGTGGCAACAACAAATGTTAGAACACCAATGGGAAAGACTTCAGATTTTATAGTTACTATGGATCTTTACCAAGGTTCAGCACTTTGCCCTTATCTATTTGCACTGGTCATAGATGAATTAACTAAACATATTTAGGAGCAAGTTCCACGGTGCATGTGATGTGGACGCGTATTGGGAACAGCAGCAGCAATGATCCGGTGTTCTCATCCTATCCAATTTGACAGCAACAGTCTTATCCATTCAGCAGATTAGATTAGACTATCTTGTTATTCTTATCTTATTAAGTTAGTAGATTAGATTATCTTATCTTATTAGATTAGGATTAAGAGAGACTATCTTATCTTATTAGATTAGGATTAAGAGAGACTTAACTCATCTTATCAGTCTTATCTTATCAAGATAGAGTTGGAGGTCTCCCTATTCAGCAAGGAGTCTCCCTAAGAGCAGGACTCTTGTAATCTCCTATTTAAARAGCCACTATTATTGAATAAAGGCATCCAAAATTTCAGTCAAAGAGAAGAGTAAAGGAGAGTTAGGGTGATCTCTTGGACAAATCACCCCTTAGGTCGCCACGATAGGGTCAGCACGCAAAGGGAGGGGCAAGGGGAAACAAGAGGTTCTCCCCGTGGACCGACCCGTGACGAGATCCTACACCCGGGCCCATAACAGCATGTTGTTTGTGGATAACATTGTTTTAATTGATGAAACTAATAGAGGATTAAATGCAAAACTAAGCTTATGGGGACAAATACCTTAAGAACAAGAGGTTTTAAAATAAGTAGAACTAAAATAGAGTATATGACATGTAAATTCAGTAATAATAAGAGTGTAAATCAAGATACACTTGGGATTGGAGACTAATGCAACCATTTCTAATAACTTGGTTCAATAATTCATAACAAGAGATAGATTGAGGAGGATGTCACCCAAAGAATTAGAGCAGGTTAGGAAAAACGGAGGGGTGGATCTGGACTTTTATGTCATAGGGGAATACCACTTAGGTTAAAAGGAAAACTCTATAAAACAGTTGTAAGCAGCTATGTTGTATGGAGCAAAGTATTGGGCAGTCAAGAAACAACATGTTCAAAAAATGAATGTAGCTGAAATGTGAATGCTAAGATGGATGAATACAAAAACTAGAAAGGATAGGATTAGGAATGAAGTTATCCGTAGGAACTTAGGAGTAGCTTCAATAGGTGATAAAATGGGAGAGATTAGACTAAGATGGTTTAGGCACATGCATAGAAGTCCACCAATTGCGTCAGTTTTTTTTTTTTTTCTTTTTTTGCTTCATGGGGCTACACAACGGGGAGTAGCCCATCCCC